TCTGAAACAAATGAGAAGTACAGTGACCAACAGAGTTTTTCAGTGCAGTGTATCACACACAGTCATACTCTCACAGGGGCCAGCATAGACTCACAGTGTGAGTGACAAGTCCGGGAGCCAATGGAAGCGGCAGACTGTCCAGCGGGAGGGGCTTAGACAGTTTAGAGGGCGAAGGGCTCAGTGTACACACACACTGAGATAGTGCCGACACACAGATAAACATACGATATAAAGACAACAGGAACGAAAACAGACAGAGAGAGAGAAGAGAAAGTGAAATAAAAAACAGGCGTGAAAATGGAGAGAAGAAGTCAAAGGATCAAGAAAGAGACAGTTAAGAGGAGCGAGTGAGTGTGTCCTCTCACCTGTGAGGGAGGGGAGGTGGAGAAGGAGGTGGTGCAGACCTCCTGGGAATCCTGAACTCCTGCATATCCGTCCTCCTCATCTGGAGCTCTGAACACACACACACACACACACACACACACACATTATAATTTAGATAATTCAAGTTTTTAAAAACTGCAGCAAGAAGGCAGCAAAGTTATAAACCTCATTCTGGCTGCATTTATTTCCACAGCTTTCTGTCGCTACCTGTAGTTGCAGGGATGTCCCATGTTTGCAGGGCGCTGGCTGCTGCAGGGGGGATCCACAAAGTGATCCACGATGATCCCCATGATTGGAGCTGACCTCTCAAACTGTCTGCAGAAAGACAACATTTCAATAGTTGACTACTTATGCTCATTTTGACTTTAAATAGCAATAATAACTTTCTTTGTAGGAAAACTGTGTTGTTTCATATGTAGTGTGTTAGTTACCTTTTGGACATGAATGCCAGGTTGGTGCGGTAAGCACATGAAAGTGTGACTGTGCCGACAGGGGTGCCAACAACGCCGACACGCACTGTCTGAAAACCTTAAAAACAAACAACAAACTTCAGGATACAAGACTATCAGTTACGGTGAAGCAGTGAATGTGATTAAAATTAATTTATTCCACATGTTAGAGACATTTTCAGTGTACCTTCTCTTTCAATTATCCTAAATATGCTGCATTTGGTCTCATATGTTACAGTAATGTTTGCCCTCAATGAGGAAATACTCTAGAAGGGCATGATTGCAACTTAGTGTTTCCTTTTTTAATGGTGTAACTCACTTTCAAGACTATAAAAACTGTACCATTATTGACAAATTTTGGTTTCTGAGCATCTTTTAATGTGGCAAGCACAAGAGGGCAAAAAAGGCACAATAAACTTAATTTCTCTAAAAATAAAAAATAAAAACTAGAATGTAGTCTTATTTTTAAGTCCTTTTGCACCTTCGACTGTAAGGTTCAAGTACACGACTATGTAAAGCCTTATTTGTGTAATGTCTACAGCAGTGGTCCCCTGCTGGTGGGTCAAGGTCCAAAAGTTGGTCTGAATGGGCTGCAAGTGACTCCTGAATGTGTTATGTTTGCTTTTATTTGGAAGTACAGTGAATTTGCGGCACAGAGCCTTTATTTTGAAGCACTGTTTCCTGCTGCAGAGTGAGTGATGAATGGACAGCTACTGGACATGGACAGCTACTGGACATAGACAGCAAACTAGCTCGACCACATGGCCAAACAGAAGCATGACGTGGAATATATTAAACTATGTGGACTTTGAACTAAATGACTAAAGAGAAATCTGGACCCCGTAGCTGCACCAGCTGGGAGCCACTGGTCTACAGTGCAACACGTAGGCCTGAAGCTGTTAGTCCTGATGCTTGTTATTAGTGATTTACAACATGTCACTGAAGAAGCAGAGTTTACAGTTACCTTCTCCTAATCCACTCAGCTGAACTTCTCCGAAGTAAATCCTAGACATGAGAGAGGCAGAAACAGGTGGCGATGTATGTCATCCATCCATTAAATGTAACAGGAGTCAGATCAAAGTGGGTGTAGCTTGGCAGTTGAACCAGCTGTTTAACAAGGAGACAGGTGGAGTTCACCCACCTGTACAATATGACATAGTCATGTCCCTGCTTTCTGGATAGTTTATAGGCAGGTGTTACTCTGGTGATGGCCAGCAGAGACTTCAGGAGGACAGACAGACGGTTGTAGACTGTGTATGACACCTTGATGTCCTTATCACACCTACAGCAGAGACAGAAATGACATTGACTCATAACAAGTGAGCAGTGTGGTGATAAGTTAATAACAGGGTAAAGTTACCTATATTACAATTAGTCAACCAATCCAACACTGACTTGTCGAACAGCTCAAGATTCCTTTAATCATTTCCTTCAGTGTTTTTATGTAATCTTATTATGTATTGCAATTTCAACAACAGCAGCACAGTCATGGGGGGTCTACAACCTTAGATACAGATCTGTGGTCCTCCAAACTAATCATGTACACACTGTAATTTTTTACAGAGGCAGAGAAACACGTCCAGCACTGACAAACCCATTATTTTAATAAACATTCCTTTCACATTTTGCCATTAAATTCACCCACTTTTCATTCATCTCCAGGCACCAGGTCTCTAACTCCATCGAGTCACCCTGAATGAGACAGAGATAGAAGAAGACAACCGATTATTTGATCAGTTTCAGCTTACATTACAGTCCTTGCACAATTTGAAGGCCTTTGAGTAAAAAGTCACTTTACAGAGTAAGAAAACTGACAGCAGTAGATGATTTGAGTTGGCCACATTGAGGGAGATTTTACCTCTGACGTCTTAAGGGAGATCTCCACACACATGGAGCGTCCGATGCCTGGAAGTTGGCCAGCCAGTGCCTTCTTGGCTTCATGGGTCACCTCTGGGATGTCTTTGATGGCCAAATTAAACTAGAAGAAATAATAATAACAACCAAAATTATGTTAATATACACCTTAATATACACCTTTACAGAAGAGGACCAACTGTCAAAGACAGCTACATACATGTGTATGTGTATGTACAGTAAATGGCAGAAGGTAAAAGAACCACTAAATTATTTTACCCAGTCAGAGCCAGTAGGCGACGAGGACGAGCGAGTGCAGATCTTCTCTCCAAGACGAGCTTGGACAATCACTTGGACCGTCTACAAACAGGACATAAGAAACCTTTACTAGTAAGTAGTGAAGGAGTATCAGCGACAGATAACAGCAACATTTTTTTATGGAAAGACATGTTGCTGTTGAATATGTTTAAATATAATTTTTCAAAACTAGAAGATATAGCTGACACCAAAGCTGATATCAATTCTGATAATCATTCTGAGTCTTAACTGATCCCTGTGGCAAGCAACAGTTTTATTATTGCTGTGAAGGAACACTATAAAAAAGGTATGCGTGTGACTCTTCTTCATAAAATACAGCATGCTTTGGACTGTTTCTTCCTCTCCACAATGACTCCTTGTTGTAAGTTTCCAGCAGCACAGACACATGAGCTTGACCTATTTGTTTCGCAATACCCAACTGTCAGAAAAGCATGCCTTCCTCCATGAAAGGAATTGATAATCTTAGAGGCATACAATTCTAATAGATCGCACAATCTGGAACAAGATCTCAATTCACATCCTTACGTGTGGAGGCAGAAATATCAATAATGTCTCTCAAAACCTGGGCAAATAAAACCCAAACTCTCTGTGCGGATAGATAAACAGAGAAATTGAGAAAATGTTTTAATGAACCAACCATTTAAGAAGGGTGTCAACAAAACAAAGCCACTAGAGTGCACGCCAGGCTTCAAAATATTCCCTCAGAGACCTGCAATCACAGACGCGACATTCATATCCTATGTTGGGAACAGGGGCATTACAATACAGGCTTCTTACCTTTAAAGCAAAGAACTTAATGAACTTGTCCAAGTCTTTTTTATCCTGGGGACTCAGGCCACTGTCCATGTTGTCACGACCCTGCAATCACACAAGATAACTCATTACAGATACTGAAAACAGTGATCATAATCCACTATAACTGTAAGAAAATTATTTTGAAGATAACCAAGATATAGTTGCAGTTATTTCAGTAATTAGGTCATGAATCATAATAAATTTGCCAATGCACCCAAAATTATACTTAACTAATTTTAAATGCAAACTTTAAATAGCTCATGACATGAGATGAACTGCAATATGTATGAATATTTACACAGTACATTCACTCCTCACGTTTCATATACACAAACAGTTCAGTTACCAAAAGCCCAGCCAAGTATGGACCAAAACAAACCATTTTCACCACATATGTAGCACTCTGCTAGCTAACAATTTAATGAATGCTAAAAGGAAGCAATATACAACACAATGAGAATGCTGCCTTCGGTATTTAACCGGAATAACAATGCTGTTTTTAACCCTCCATATAGCATCTGTTTATGTCACCAGATAGCAAGTGAGGCCTCCACGTTGACATGAAACTGTCCGAATATAATTTCGAGGTCATGTTCCACGACGTAACACTGACAACCACTTAAATGGTGCACCACACCACCTGGCAAATTAATAACATAAAATGTCGCCATTTCACTGATACTGTCTTAACGTTTATGTTTCAAAAAGAGGAGGCACAGCCACTAGATTGGTGACTCACTGGGCAACTAGCGTTAGCCTGTGGCTAATGTTAGCTAGCTAGCTAAATACCACGCACTTTAACTTCCCAACAAAACGACAAAACTTACATTAGCTTTCCCCTTAGCAATGTAGCTTCAATTAAGCGTTAACTGATGTAAGAAAGGTGGCACGCAGCGCGGCGCTGAACAAACATTCACACGTCCAATCCAGATGAACACAACGTCAGCAGAGACTGTGCTACTTTTCTGTTTATCTTCTCCATGTCGACGTGTTTGGATAGTAGCACTTTCACAGAGGCACTTTCGTTGATTTTTAAAAAAATATCTGCAAAATATACAGCCAGTAAAACACGAGACACCACGCGTGCTCTATGATACTATTCGCAAAAAAATGCAAGTTTTATTGTATCTTATTTTATTTTTACTCCAATACCATAATCTGTAAATACAACACGCTACTTCCTGTCTCGAATCTGCGAATGTGCGTCACAGGTTGGGTGTTTCTGTCTTGTTTTTGTTGTCAAATGCTGCATGACTGCTTTAAATGCAAGTACCCCTTTCTTAATAATGCAAATGAAAGGAATTATGTTTTAATTTTTATTTACAGCTATCCAGCGACGTGTATTAGTAGCGTTGCCTCAACAAGCAAGCATAGCTAAAATTAAGAAAGCTCGAAATGTTAGCGAGCTAGCTAGCTAGTTAGCACGTTAACTTAAGCGATTCAGTCATACAGGAATAACTAGCGTTGACGTTAGTTTTAAAACGTGACAGGTTTTTGTCCCATGCTATGATCGTCATAATCTTTCAAAAAAAGGGCTGTAATAATAAAACTGTCATTAGAAACTATTATAATGTATCTTTACCTTGTATATAGTGTACTTACTGTTTTACAAACTGCTTACATGTCTGTGTATTTATATTTTGTTTTTCATTAAGCACATATGTTTAATACATTATTGTATACATTCAGTTCATTCAGTTAATTTATTTGCAACTGTACATTTGTCTACCACTAATTTATATTACTGTATTCTAGATTTAATGTTATATATTATCCCTATATTTCAACTTAAACTAGCATTATTTTGTGCCTAAGATTCTCTCTTTTTTTGTGTGAAATTCACACAAGTATGTCTTACTGAGGCAAAGAACAAAGTGGAAATGACTGTGGATATGGCATGAAAATCTTCCACTATAAATGTCAAATAAGAGTATAACAAGGTGCTTGAAATGAATGCGTATTATTTATTAATGTAAATGTATTCCCACAGCATGGCGATCCCTATAGCCATCTTGGACTGTGATCTACTCCTACACGGTCGAGGCCACAAGACCCTGGACCGCTTTGACCTGGACTCTGTCCCAGATGATTTTCTCCTCACGCACTTCGGCTTCCCCAGAGAGTTTATTCTGTATCTGGTGGAGTTACTCAGAGAGGTGAGCGTGTGCTGATCCTCAGTTTTGAACAATTATGTCCAATTAACTATTCATTTAAATGTATGTGTCATTTCTGTGTGTCAGGCTCTCTGCAGACGGACCCAGCGGTCCAGAGCCATCAGCCCTGAGGTCCAGGTGCTGGCTGCTTTGGGATTCTACACATCTGGCTCGTTCCAGACATCTATGGGAGATACTATAGGGATCAGCCAGGCATCAATGTCAAGATGCGTGTCTAATGTAACCAGAGCCCTTGTGGAGAAAGCTCCCCAGTTCATCACGTTTAACAGGTATGGCTTCATGCTACTAACAACAAAATGAAAGATTAAAAACACCAAGAAGAGGAGGAGAAAGTACATTTAAAGCAGTATTAATGTTTCCCTGACAGAGATACAGCCAGCTCAGAGCAGTCCCTCCAGCAGTTTCAGAGGGTGGCAGGATTCCCAGGAGTTCTGGGGGTGCTGGACTGTGTTCAGGTTTACTATATTATACTGCATTAACACTTCTGGACACTTTGTACGCAGGTGACAGCCTCACTGATATTCTTCTCCCTTCACCTCCAGGTCACCATCAAAGCGCCAAACAGCGAAGACTCGTCATATGTAAACAGGAAGGGCTTTCACTCTGTGGGCTGTCAGCTGGTTTGTGATGCCAGAGGGTTGTTACTCAGCGCAGAAACACACTGGCCAGGCGGACTCAAAGACACTGAAGTTCTAGAGAGATCTGCTCTCCGCAAACATTTGCAGGACATAGAGGAGGGCTGGCTGCTGGGTGAGACACATATTTCAGACTTCTTACATCATTCTGTGCAGTCTGAAAACATCAGGAATGAAGTCCTTTTCTTATTTCTGTTTCCTAGGTGATCGTCGTTATCCTCTAAGGAAGTGGTTAATGACTCCAGTCGACTGCCCAGAGTCCCCTGCTGAGTTTCAGTATAATCTGGCTCACAGTGCTACACATGAGATAGTGGACAGAACCTTCAGAGCCATACAGACCAGATTCAGATGTTTGGACGGCACCAAAAGATACTTACAGGTATTTTAATCCATGCAAAGCTCCCTGTCAAAAAATGGTAACGCCGGCCTTACGTTAAATGACTTTTCAAGCAATGTCACTGTTCCAGACCCATCATCCATTTATCTCATCTCCTCTCCTCTCTTGTCCTGCAGTATTCTCCAGAAAGGAGTTCATCCATCCTGCTGGCCTGCTGTGTTCTCCACAATGCCTCCCTGCAGTCTGGATTAGATGCCTGGACTCTGGAGAGAACCGACCCTCTGGAGCAACCCGAGTGCCTCGAACAGAGGCCCGAGGACCGCGATATCCAGGCAGAGGACCTCCGAAAACAGCTCATACTCAAACACTTCAGCTGAACTGCTGGTCAAAGGGGATCAAGACTACATTAAAACTGGGACCAGAGCAAACCATCTTTTTTTTTTAAAGTGGTTAGCATTGCAACCCTCAACAGGATAAGCGGTTACGGAAAATGAATGAATGAATGAACAAACCCGTACAAGTCATATTTAAAGCGAGAAAATCCACAGACACAGTGTTGCTGATGCAGTTTTTTAATATTTTGCTGGTTTCTACTCTACTGACTACACTAAGATAACATAGTTGTATATGGAGGAACATGCAAGACGCTATACAACAAACCAAGACAACATTATACCCAAACACATTTCAAATACATAGGAAGTGCTTGATTATTCTCTCTCTAACATATCCACGAAGAGGTGAGAATAATCAAGCACTACCTGGTGTTTAACAACCATCTGAACTGTGTGCAGCTGCTATGTTATTAAGGTTTCTTTACAAGTTGAAAAAACTCACCCTCCCTTATTTTTTAATCCCTCCCCTCTTTACATTGTCCTTCCCCTCAAAAATTCTCTTTTTTTCCTTTCCAACTTGATTCCACAGGTTAAAATCTCAGATTACTATGTCACAATACAAAAACAAGGCCCTTATTTACAACAACTGCACATTAGGTTGTCATTATTTATGTACACTGGTGCATTATGACTGTTAACGGGTGAGAATGACAGGATGTTTGTGCAACGGGCTGCAGTCACGTGATGTTTTTGTGTACACACAAGATGACGGACACAAAATGAAACAGATGAATAAGAAAAAAAACTGAGAAGATGTGTTAATTGTACTGAGTATTTTATAAGTAAGAGTTATTTATTTAAGGATTTGGTCTGTTTTTATAGCGTTTAATTTAAAGGAATACCATGACATTTAATTGTTCAATTTTTTTCTCACATTGTCAGAATAGTGGTGAAGAATTAAAGATTTATTGTAAATGTCCCGGTGTTCCTTCAAATTGTGGAGTAACGAAGCTAGTGGTGTTTTACTTCTTGGAATGTTTTAGTCCCCTGATTGGCTTCATCAATATATACACACTTTCTACAAACAGGAATAAATACATCATACACTGCTGTCGCACGAGCTCTTTTAGCATCGATGTTGCTGTTTGGTTTGATGAATTTATGACATAAAAATATCTACATTAAGCATTATCGTCAATGTTTTTATTATTTAAAAATCCTCTGTGTCTTTTTAGGTCAAGAAACTTCAGCTTGACAGTAATAATTAGCTTTTTGAAGGTGTAATTGTATAAGCTAATGGTATTTTTAAATCACGAGGGAACAAAAAAAAGCCCCTCGCAGGTTGTCATGCGACAGCAGTGGAACATAAACACTGTATTACAGTTAAAAGACACAAATAGATCATGTCAAAGTTTTACACTCCATAAAACGGCATGTAAACTACACACCATCATGTAAAACTTCATCATCCTAAATGCCAAAACACAACATACATTTCCTTTTTTTTTCTTGCATACAATAAATATGCTCTTTTTTTGATGCTCAGAATATATTATAAGTTGTATTTTGGTGTTTTTTGTAAACATTATTTATAAAAAACAAAAACACAAGAACATAAACTAACCTTAAAAACACGTTCAGTATTTCTTTTTTTGTTGCATAAATTAAATATGCTCTTTTTTGATGCTGCAAATATATTATATATACAATTTTTAGTTCCATAAAAATACTTTTATGTCATGTTTCCCAACCTCTGTCAGGACCCCTTTAGTGGTCCCTTGATATGAAAATATGGTTCCCCCCAAAATTATGCAGAATCTGGATGTGAAAAACTTGAGATGGATTCAAAAAGTGGAAAAATAAAATACACAAAAACAAAAAAAACTGTTTGGTAAGCAGGTCAAACCAAGGCTGGCTCGTAGCAAAGGTGAATCTGACAAGCTTTTACACCTACAGGCGTGTAAATAAAACAATTCCCCCAAATAAATCCTAAACATTAATCCAGTTTATGATTATTCAAAAGAAACAAAAACTATAGAGACGGCAAAATGAGCCCAAAAAGGCAGAGGCCAGCCCTGATTTAAACAGTGTGTGATCTAGTTAGGTTTTTAAGGTGAGTGTGTGGGCTTTAGGTGTAAGGCCAAGTTGGTTATATTTAACTGAAGTAAGTGGAAGGCACTTTTTAAATGGCACAACTTCCTTTTAAAAAGGACTAGACGTGTTATTTTCAATATTTAGTTTTGTCTTGGAAAATCCAAGCATCGTGTGCTAACATAAACTCCCACAGTGGAGGTCCGTCAAGTATCCATATGTATTTATATTCACAAGTTCTTTAAAGGTGCAAAGGTGTATCATTGTGTGTTTCTCTAGACGTTAAAACTACATTTCCCATAAAGCTCGCTTTCCCTCTAAAATGGCTACGCTACATTAGTTCTGGAGAGAAAGTGAGGGAGCCAAAAGCAGCTAATAATTGCTTTCGGTCTGTCTTGACATGGTAAGATAACGCCAGAGGTGAGACCAAGTCGTTGTTTTGCAAGTCCCAAGTAAGCCTCTAGTCTTTACACTCAAGTCCTGTGTCAAGTCTTAGGTCAAGTCCCAACTATTAAACTTTTGAGTTTCGAGTCCTAAACAGATAATAATGCGCTCTTCACGAACGGTAATGCCATTTTATACAGCAGAGTAATATTTCGTTCATGGATGCTTTTAAAAATTTGTAAGATGCTAACTTGTCGGTGAAGATTCTCAGTCATCTAGGTCATGGTAATTGTAGGCTAGCCTGCAACTTTGTACCAGTCATTTAGAACTGAAGAAGCTTCTTGGATGAGAGGCGAAACGTCTTCAAGAAATGCAAGCAAGTCCAGTTGCCTACGATATTAGCACTTACGATGTTAAGCTAACGTTAGCTAACCGTTAGCTAATTATGTTACTATTAGTCTCAAGTTACCGTTCTTGGTGCAACTTCAAATGTCATATGCAGCTGAAAGTTGTTGCATCTCTGTCTGTAATTTTTGGTATTCAGTATACTTATCTTCAATGACATATTGTCCAACTAGCACTAAGTAACGCAACATTAGTTATTCATGGTTCTCTCCTGCAACTTGACAACTGATTAGTTGGGGGATTAAGTGTCGGATTGCTGGGACTGAACAGTGTTAATGTTTGTTGATTCAGGAAATTAATTGATTCGTGGCACACTTTTTAAATAATGTACTTTTTTTGGGCTTTGGGGAAGGTATCAAGTATTTTCTAGTCAAAAGGCTCAATTCCAAGTGATGTCAAAGTCAAGTTGCAAGTCTTTTGGTTTTGTCAAGTCAATTATGAAGCCTTGAAATTTTCTGACTTGAGTCTGACTTGAGTCCAAGCCATATGACCTGAGTCCACACTTCTGGATAATACTCTTCTCACATGACTTACCTGTCTTTCCTCTGGACAATGCTCTGACTAGTTTGTGGTGATAAAGTGTTTTTGTGAAAATGCTACAAATTGCGTCTTTAGGTTCATCTTTTGGATTTGTCAAGTCGAGTCTTAAGTCATCAAATTTGTGACTTGAGTCTGACTGTGGTTCGCACCTCTGGACAAAAGCTTAACGCCTCATTTCCACTTGCGTATGTGAGTGGTGTTCATATATCTGTAAATATACAGATGATGCCTATAGTGTCCAACACAACGAAGTGTATTTCTTTACGGATGAAAAAAAACCTGTAGCCATGACGTAGAGGCTAATTTTGTCTATTTTTTGCCTTCCATTAGTTTGGAATATGCACTTGGAACATTACTGGGACCAGAACAGGACCTGCCAGGTACGTGGCATGGAATTAGTGGCACAGGCCGAAATATTACAGATATCATGGAGATTCCCATAGGAATGAATGGACTTCTGGTTGCCTCGTCTCCATACACATACGCATGTGGAAACCAGGCAAAAATAGCTTACATCTGTCTTTTCTCTTGGCGATCATGTGATTAGTTTGTGGTGATAAACTGTTTTCTGTTATAATGCTACAAGTCACATCTTTAGGTTACTGAATACTGGATGTTCTTCAATTAAAGCCTTAGGTTTGTAATGTATTTTAAAATATTCTTCGTTACTATTTTAAATTAAATATTAACAGATTAGTTGGATTTTAATGTGTAAACGTAGAAATTCCAATAAGATGGTCCCTTTAAAATCAAGTATCTTCAGGTGTGGCAGAGTCTGTTGAAGCAGAGAAGTGAAGCACCATGTACAGGCAGTGAACCGGCAGTGGAGGGTGGAGGAATTCTTGTCTCGAGGCGTACTGAAAGGGTTGATGATGGATTGATTTTGGTCCAGGTGGATGTCGATATGAAGCCCGCTGAGTTCAGGAATCAGGACGTTGAGGGCTTGTTAGGGGTCAGAGGTTAGAAGTCATGGGAGGAAGGGTCCGGCTGTGTCAGAAAAACTCGGAGGCTCCTTCTGGTTTTGTTTCTCTGAGGAGAAAAAAGGCACTTGATTAATATTAAGGGGACAATAAAAGTTATTTGTCATTAAAATATCACAATATATGTTTTTCTACCTCCGGTCTAACTTGGGCCTAGTTGTCTGATTGCTGTTGTCAGCTGTGTATCGGCTTGTCTGGACGTGGCCCTCAGACTGTAGCCTCTCCCCCTCTGATGTCACTAAACTCTCCTCCAATGGAGACCCTTCGTTGTAGAAGAGCAGGCTGCGGGAACGGACTGCAACACACAAACACACACATTGGTTTTCATTCTCATGTCATTTCCAAATACAACTATATCTCAGGGTTATAATGAAGTCTAGGGGCCACGGGCAGGGCAGTATTTCAGCCCTTGATGGGTACAGTCTGGCAGACATTGTCCCTCACCACTCAAAGGCTGGTTGCTGGCAGAAAGGAGTGGTACTTAACGTGATGACAGCCTAACCTCTGGTTTCAAAAGGGTTTCCCCAAGGGGAAGAGGCTTAAGGAAGTAAATTTATAGGGAAGTGGAATGCAGCAGAGAGTGAAAGTTGATACTCATGTCCTCTTTACAAGACTAAACTTCTGGGATCTTTCTCTATCTTCCTTCTTGGTGTGCTTTTATTTTGGAATCTTTTACCGTTAAGTATTAGAAATATAAAGCACAGAGTTGTCGTTAGGGAAATTGCTGAGCAGCAGTTGCAATTCAAAGTTGTCGAACCACAGGTGATGTATTTGTATTTGACCTACCCTGACTGGTGGTGTAGAGGTCCGCTGATGAAAGAGGAGGAGAAGGGGAGGGATGAGAGGAAGAGGAGGATGAGGACAAAGAGGGGGTGTGACTGAGGAGGGAGAGGGGGGAGAAGCAGGGAGAGAAGGAGCCCAACACCAGGACAAAACACACGGCCACCATCTGCGTAAGAGAGGAGCAAAACACTCACATTGGTAAATTATCACAAAAAGGAGTTCAACAGGGCTATGACTAAGGTTTTTTAATATGTTCTCGATTGATTGATTGATTAGTTACTTGGTCTATAAAATGTCAATCAGAGCCCAAAATAATGTCCTCAAATGTCTTGTTTCGTCCACAACCCAAAGATATTTCATAACGACAGTATTAAAATGTATGTGTGTGAGGAGGTTTACCGTAACAAGAACAATATATTTACCATGAGGCATGTCCCTGTTTGGGTTGAGGCTATTTTACATGAACGGGGAACAACTTTCCCTGAAACCAATGATTGAAGCTTCTGCAGCTGCTGCAGGAGAGACCTAAAGAGAGACAAACAGAGAGAAATTAACAATCAAAAAAGACTGAGTAAGTAGAGAAAAGATTCAAGGAAGAGTGCTGTTTGGTTGAGGATTTTTCCTTCCTTGAATCACAGCTTCATCACCTCAGGGAAATAACACCAGTTAAATCCTCGGGTATTTTCTCTCTTCTTATAGTTTAAAGTCAGCTTTATCCACCTGATTTACTGCTGCTGTGTCAGCTAGCAGAGTGAGTGAGGAGTACCACAGAGTTGGACAGAGCACACCAGTAAAACCAGTAGACTACAGTGTGTGAGTGTGATCTGGAGAGCAGGGTTCTGATGGTATGAGCTGTCAGTGGCTGGGAGGACTCACTCTGACCACTAGGTGGAGACAGAGGACCGCTTACAGCTGCGAACCGGCCTGCAGCGAGTCAGTCAACCGTTAAATAAGCTGGAAACTAAAGCAGACAATAAAGTGGTCAATCAGATGTTTCATGTCTGTCACATGCACCAGACTGTAGTATTGCACTGTGAGTTGCCAGCTGTAATAAACTTATATGGGATGATGCTGAGCAGCATTTCTCACACAGGACTTTGATGTGAAACCACAGTGATTCACTGTTAACGTTATTACTGCTTTTAATACAATTTTTATACTGCCAAAGGTCATGCTGGTTGGCTCTGTGAATATGTGTGTGTGTGTGACTTTGCAGCACATGAACGGAAAATTTTAATGAACTTATTAAATGAATGTGTGTTGGGGGAGCTAGTGGTTTCCCTCTGCTTTCATTGTTTGTGCTAAGCTAGGCTAAACATATTGTGAATGTCTATCTGCGCTGGACACACATAGAGATGAAATTATAATCAATATTTGTCTGGCTCAAGCTAGAGGACAACAAATAAACACCTCTGGAAAGTCCATGTTTGAGTGTCTGGTCTAGTCGACTTTGAAATACTCACTGAATGCCAAATCTGTCCAATGGGATGTCGAAACAACATGGACCCAATCACTGTGAGGTCATGCTTATAACAGCAATCACTTCTGGGTGGCGACTGATTTTATGTGAAATCAGTAAACCTGTTTATTAATGTTTTCATTTCAGCCGTAACTGTAGCGCTTCAAGATTTATAGTTAAACACGGTGGTCCGACATGTCTGACGTTTCTGCTGTGCCTTTTTTACGCACTGTATTGGTTGGCCAAATCTACCACCACAAAAGCAAAGTATTGTATTGCTGTGGACGGGAACCATATAAAAATGTATTTTAGCAACCTAAAATTTTTTTATTCCAGTTTACATGTTTGCTTTTGTCAACAGAATCTGGTGGCTTTGATGGCGAGGTAAAGTGCTGAAAATATTCTAAATATAGCGTACACTTAAACTGATACGGATTTTTTTAGGTGTGTTATATATTGTGGTGTAGTGCACATTTTTTCTTGCATACGTCCTTTATTTCTATATGTTATAATTTCTCTATGGCTATACACAGTATAAGAGCTCTAACATGTCCTAATTTCCCTCAGGGGATCAATAGTGTTGCAAATTTCTGAGATGCACAAAGACTGAGATGGTGTTTTGTAATCCCATGTGGGATGGGACAAATGTTTGGCTTGACACAAAATTGACTAATAAAAATTACACAAATATGGAGTTATTCTCGTACACCTAACAGACCGGTGGCACTAACTTGGTTCTGTATGAATCCAAGTGGACGTGCAGTAAAAAGAAACCACTGCATGGAGAACAAAACGACCGCTAATAACTGCATTTGGGGCATTTTTAGGAACTCACAACTTAAATTTAGCTCATTCATTTAAAAGCTTTTTTTTTTTTAGACCTGCACATTTTCTGGACTTTATGTGAGAGTGAGCGTGCTGACTCATGTTCCTCCAGTTTGTGCCAACTCATTGTTCCTCTGTGTGGTGGTTTAACATATTCATCAGTGTGTGAGTGTGTGAGTGTGTGAGTGTGTGAGTGTGTGTGTGGTGGGAAGGGAGGGGGGTTTGCCTTCCATGATGAAAGCTACTGTTAACTCGCAGCTTTAATGACAGGCTGAGGCTGCCACAGACAGACAGACGTAGAGACAGACCCCCCCTCAACACTCTACACCACACCCAGCCACCCACCCACCCACCCACCCATCTACCCACTCAAGGATAATAGCAGATTGGTTTCATATTGTTATAATAACAGAGGAGACAAACAGAGCTGGGTGAGTCTGAGAGCAGACTCTGTTTAGACTCGTAGAATTCTCTCAATCTAACACACACTGCATATAAACTGAAAGGGTTTTAGAAAATGAATACGAGCACGTATAACCGACAGTCGAGAGCGTTTGGCCCGTGAAGACTATATGACTGCAGCTCGGCTTGCAGCTACAATAATCGTTATTTCTCCAAGAGAGATTAAAGAAAAATGAGCCCTGCTGCAGCGCAGATCATTCAGCTCTCAGCTTATCAAGCTGCATTCTTTGCAAACGCGTTGCTATTTTCAGTGATGATAATCCAAACATCATTACAAGAATGTCGGCCCTTTGTTATTAGTGTTCGGAGCCAGCTCACAACAGCTTCAGCCTGTTCAGAGACACGACAGCAAGAACTGTGGTTATGATACTGAAATTTGCAACTTTGATACTACACCTTGAAAAATATCAAGGGCATATGATTTAAAATTTTTATTCAAAGATAAATATAATATATGAAAACTCTTTTGTTGATTAGTAGCAGAGACATAAAGGCCCAGACACACCAAACCAACATCAGGAAACTGGTGGTGACAATGTTGCCTGTGTCTCGGCCAAGAAGTTTTACTTGAACACGCCACCAAGACTACAGCCAACGCCAACTAGCATGTACATTCTGCACCTGTGTGAGAGGAAATAACTCTCAGTTGCTCAGTGGCACACAAAGCCAAAAAAACTCCATTTCCATCATATGAAATTGCCCAGATCTTCCACACTGTGGGGCCCATGGAGCAAGTGTACAAGAGACGAGTGTGGCTGAGCGGCTAACTTCCGCCAGTGCTCCGGTTTAGTGCTCCGCTAACTGGAATTGAGATAAAAGTATTAAATCATGCGGTTCTAATAAACTTTTGAAATGTTATCTGACCAAATGGATCAAATCCCAACAGTGAAACGAGTCATTTTATGGGGGTTGTGGCGCACAAAAAAATGTATCTACTAATTTACAGATGTTTCTTTCCCAATTTATGTTAATGGTATAAAGTCTTGTACCATTGTCTTGTCTTGTTGTAATTCCACTTTTGGCCACTATGTAAGCTCAGTTTCAAAGCCCGACGCTGTTCCTGGTGGCTTGGCAGTTGGCAGTGGCCTGTATTCTACATTCAAAAGGGAAACCGGAAGACCGTCATGACGCTGGTTAGCAGGGCCGCCCCTCCCTAAATGCAGAACACGCGCTGTGTGTAGGGCCTCATCTTCCATGGGGGGCCACATTTTGCGCGAGGGGACGCATTTGCGCATATACGCAATGGATACCGTGAGGCGCGCGTAGAATCAGCTCGAGGAAGGAGAGAAGAGACCTGACCGCCCATGCGTCGCTGTAATGATTGACAGCACTCCACATCTGAACAATCAGAGGGGTGCGCTGGCAGGCACTTGCAGAGCTGCAGCAGGTGAAGAGCTGTCGACATGTCGTCCAAAAGAGCCTCAGGAGTATGTGCAGGGATGGGAGGGCGGGCGGGCTCCACGGAGGGGGAGACCCGAGCCTCAGGGGTATGTGCGGGGCCGGGAGGTCGGATGCTCCCAGAGAGGGGAGAGGGAGAAATACAGCTAAATAAGATGAAAATAGAAAAGAATGTCTCTGTATTTTATTTCTGTTTTCAGTGTTTAATTAAGGTGGGAGAGGCGGAGGGCTGAGGGAGATCGGACACCTCCAGAGAGGGGAGAGGGAGAAATATAACAAAATAAGATTAAATAGGAAAAACCTGTCTCCCTCTTTTATTTTATTTTCAGTGTTTAATCAAGGGTGGGGGATTGAGGTGGTGGAAGTTACTTTCTTTTGATGAGTAATTGATGGCTATTTGTGACTCAGATTTGTTTATTTATTTATTTCAGTTTGAAGTTATTTTTATTTAATATTTATTTATTTATTTCAGGTGGAATTACTTATTTTATTTGACTCATACAGCCAAACTACTGTATCTACAGTACATTTGTTATTGCCATTAAAGGTTGTCAAGTTAAATGGCAAGTTGTTGTACGGTCATTTTGTACCTATGATACATTTGGGATGGGGGCCTCCAAATAAAATTTCGCTTAGGGCCCCAGTTTGGTCAGGGACAGCCCTGCTGGTTAGCCAGTTAGCACATTAACAACTCAACCTGATGCTGAAAGAACAAAACATATTTACTGTGCACTAGCAAACAATACATCAAACATTTATGAACCATTTCTGCTAAAGAGCTAAATGGCTAAAAACATAATCTTACCGATTATAACAAGTTTGTTTACGCTCTTTGACTTTAGTCTTTTGTTTACTTTCCTCACTTCTGTTTCTCTGCTCATGCGATGAGCTGAACTGCCAAACAGAGTGATTTCATTCATCAACAGGCTCTGCAATCTCTGATGGCCGACAAGGGCCGACAATGACCAACAGTGTGAGACCCACTGCAAAAACTAGGGCGACAGACACTCATCAACGGCAACGCTAATCAATCAGATCAGGCAGGTGGTACAGTATCAGTGGGTAAACAACGCTAATGTCAGCTGGAGTGTAATTGTGTGTGTGTGTGTGTGTGTGTGTGTGTGTGTGAGTGCCTCACCTGTTGGCAGTCTCCAGGTTTTCTACTTTTCTCCACAGGTCGCTGTTTTCTGACGTGTAGCTCTCCACCCTTACAAAGAGACACAGAGTCCTGTCAGCATCTTTAATGATCTTTTACTCTGATTGCAAACATTTTCACTCATCAGGGCCGAATTCATTTTGACATTTGAATTCTTTTGTAAATAATTGATGTACCCAGCACACAAATGGATCTGCAGGATGAGAGACTTCCCAACTGTCCTCTCATCCCTCTTCATTTGCTCTTCCTTTGTCATCTCCTGCTAATCCTATTTATATCTTTTATCTTAACTTAAAATCTTGTTAATCTTCTGCTTTGTTACTCATAATCCTCCTGATCTCTTGCTATGTTTGGTCTGAGTACAGCTCACTCATACACATTCTTTTCAGAGAGTCATCCTGCTGGTTTCTTTGTAAGGGGTCCTTCAATAATCCTGTCCAAAGAGAACACAAAGACAGAGAAGGATTTCTGTTTTTACACACCTCCTCTTTCCTTACTATTGTTAAAGTCAGCTCTCCCCCGACTAATAGTGTTTGGGTACGACCTGTATGAATGTCTTCGGGTGCTTTTTGCGATTGGAAATGTCTTAAAATCAAGCCCACATTTTCACCTCCCTTTCACTCTCTGACCCATGTGTTCAGCAGGTTACTGGAGTCCTGCCATGGCAATGAATTGCCAGAAAAACAAAGGAGAGAAGAGAGGAAAGAGTTTCTGCTCACTTTTAATGATGAAATACATCCTGTACGTATTATGTGTTCATCTGGACATCTGTACCTGACCCTAAAGGAGATAGGCTGCTAGTTCAATCCCCTGCAGAGCTTGTGTGTGTGGCACCAAACTCAGCTCTAACTTCAACTCTCAGGCTCACTTGGGCATTTCACCAATCTATCTTTTCTCCGTTTTTCAGTTGTATTTTTCTTTTTTTTGTGTGAGCAATGCAGATGAAGAACATAAAATTATGTATAAAAAGCCCTGTGGTTGGACTCAACCTCATTGGCCATCATGGCCGCTTTCTGGAACAAATGCAACGCTCTTAAACACATTGTTAGACAGCTCGGAGGAGTGGAAGAGAAAAGTTATTCATTTATTGCATAGACACTGCTGTGCAACTGGCTGTTTGAGCATTTTTAACAGCTGGGCTGGCATGAAACTGGTTGAAATAACAGTAATAATTCAGCAGTAGAACATTTATCTCCATGATTCGATGACAAATTGCATTTTAAAAAATCATGTTCCACTGAAAAACATCAAATGATGATGATGAATGCATCTGACCGTGGAGGTTGAGAAACATTTTGATAAGAAACATCCATTAATTTGGTCTTTTCATAGGATTTGTTGACTGTTCAGAAAAATACTGAGTCGCACCATTATTTATTGAATCGATTTTTTTTAAATTGTTTTTCCTGGCTGGACAATTCTAAATAATCATAACCACTGATGTACTGTACTTTAATACCATTTAAAAGAACTATAATGAGAAAAAAAGGGCTTGGAAATCGCAAAAAGACAGCCAGATATAAAGGTAAACCAAAAGGAGTGGAAAACGGATGGAAACACGGGGACAAAGAGTTTTTCCAAGCCTTACTTTTTCTCCAGACATTCCACATATTCTTTCTTCTTCCTCCGACTCTCCTGAGCTGAGATCTGGATAGAAAAACAAAGAAATATCAGCAAGATGCAAAGACAATTTGTCAAGTTACTAAAGATATATTATGCAGGATTTTCCTTAAAAAAAACAATGCATAGACTCATACTGAAGTAATCCCTCTCAGTTATCACTTATGAGTCACTAGAAGTGTGTGGCAGTGGATATTTCTCTGCAGAGACTCTGATCTCTGCCTGTATTTTCTTATTTTCCTCTTATTTTCTAAGCTTGGGACATTTATGAGCGTGTAGTCCCACAGAGCTCAGGTTAAGTCAGGGCTTTATGAAAAGATACTGACCAGGTGCCAGACCATAAGCAGTACGCATCCAAAAGACACAGTGCTGGAAAAATGTAAATATAGCGAGGGGAAACGCCAAAGGAGAGCGAATCTGAGGATGGCTTTTACTTGCAATTAAAAGCTGCGGTGTTTACCTTGTTTTTAATCTTCCGCCGGACCCTCTTCAGTGCCTTCTCTTCACTCTTAGTGAGAGGAAGTTTGTTAGGTACTGGGTAACCCTCGGCAACTAGGGTCCTCTTCTCTTCTTCCGTCAGCAAGAGGGGTCCTGAACCCTGCAGCTTCTGCACAATGACACAAAGGAACTTCATCCATACACTCACAACCGTTATCACAATTTTTTAAAGGGGACCTGTTCTGTTCATTTTAAGGTTTATATTTGTACTTTGGGTTTCTACTAGAACATTTTAACATGCTTTAATGTTCACAAAACACTTTATTTTCCTCATACTGTCTGTGCTGGAACACCTGTGTTCACTCTCTGTCAGAAACGCTCCGTTTTAGCGCCTGTCTCTTTAAGAACCCCTCCTGAAAAAGCACAATCTGCTCTGATTGGTCAGTGTTTCCAGGTTTTCTGCATCTTGACATCTCTGCACTGCCAGGAACTGACCGTAATAAAGTGGAGTGGCACTTTCTCCGGATAAAAATCTCCTATTAAAGCTTGCAAACCAAAATCTTTACAACTGGAAATGTTCCAGCAGGAATATGAACCAAAATCGAGGAGAAATTAACAGCATCAGGAACCAAGATTACATATTTTCCAGCATGTAGCTACATGTAGTAGTGTACATAATGTAAACACCTGCCTGGAGCATATGACCATATAGAAACCTGGCATGAGCTGACATCAGCTTGTAGCCAAACTTTAAAAAAAAACACAGCTGGAAACAAGAGCATTCAGAACGATCTAAAGCCTGTGGTCTTTGCTCACAGGGATTACTTTAACACACGTTTACCTCATTATTTGAAACTGGCAACGTTTGATATCAACATCTGACACTGTAATGTTGTATATATGGCAGAAAATAAGGAAAAGCATATTTAGGTCCCCTTAAAAATAATCCCCGCAGGCGGCTGACTCATCAGCTTTCCCTTTGAACAATACGAAACAACACAGCTTCTTCATGTGGTGATTTTACTGCAGCTCAGATGCATCATTACCAAATCAAACATCTTTTGCTGATGTTGAACAATTGTGTGTAAACATTTGGTCATAAGGAATTACATTATGGCATCAGTGCACATGTGATTCATTTCTTCAGAGAAAAGCTGCTGAATCGGGCAGACAATGGCCAGACACTGGACTGACTGAATTTCACTGAATAGGCCCCATTTTGTCAGCAGACTATCGGGCTGATTGAACCCCATAATGACAGCTGTGCCACACACCAAAATGTGCACTTAGTCCATTCAACTATTTGTTCCGTCGAATCAGTTCGGGAATAATAATGAAAACCAAGAGTGGAGATGGGGAGCAGAAAGATACAGAGTGTTTCTTTTACTTACATGTGGTGCAGTGAGGAGAGGTGAAGAAGAGATGGCTGAGGAGGAGGAGGAGGAGGAGGAAGAGGAGGAGGCACGACCTCCTGGCCTCTGTTGTGGTTGAGGGGAAGACGGTGGCAAGGGGAGGTGTGGGGAGGAGGGAGGGAGGGAGCCGTCACTGTCGCCGTGGTTACTGCTGGGAGGGGTGGGCGGGAGCTGGAGAGTGTCGTCTAAAAGGAGAGGAGGGTGTTGATTGAGTGCTGCTACTTTTAACTGAGACATCATGCTTTTGTTGACAACTGAAACAACACATGAGATCTCTGTTGGCGTTCTGAAAACTAAAAAGTGACTTTGTACTTCTCAAGTGGATTGCTGTGATCACTGGCATAAAGGTAGAGAGATACAGATACAAAGGCAGGAAGTTAGACCTTCTGAAAGGCTGTTTCTGTCCTGAACTGGTCTGTCAGGTTGAGAGTTTATCAGTCAGATGGTGAGTTTTAGAATTAGTTTGAAGCATTTGACAGCTTGGGATAAAGCTGTGCCTAACAAGACAAGTTTAGGGGAATAAAAACCCATAAAAGTCTTTCAATCAACATACGTTTGTGGGTTTTTATTCCCCTGAACTGGAATAAAAATGGGTTAATTTGTCAACATTTGAATGTTGTGACCATATTTTCTTGAAAACATTGCAAGTCTTGTGGACATAGGTGTAGATTTCAGGGGGGACGCAGGTGATGCATATTTCAAACATGTGAATTTGTCTCCCCTGATACATTTATTCAAACAAAATAAAAGACATTTCAACCATAAATTGTTGCAGAAAAGGCTCAAATTGGTGCTTAAAATTCCCCAATATGCAAGAAATAAAGTGTGTGATGCTCAAAATTTCCTTTGCCAGGATTCGAAACAATTTTTTATGTGTCCCCCACCTATTCTGAAACAAAACCTTCGCCGCTGTTTGTGGCGACTGGATACATTCCTTTGTGTCACTTGCTTATTGCTGGTGATTTAAATTTTGATACTAATGTAACGTGTGTGTGTGTGTGTGTGTGTGTGTGTGTGTGTGTGTTTGTGTACCGCTGGGCAGGCTTAGGTACTGTCCAATCTCTCTGGGTTCATCTTTAATGGCTACTGGCTTCACACTGTCTTGACTGGGCTCCTACAGAAACAGAAACAACAGTAACACCGATGAACTAACCACTTAACATCAATAAAAACATCATATGTAGCATCTTGTTGTCTGATGGATGCTAACCGTGTGTTTCCATGGTGACCCTCGATGTGGCGGGGCGGGGTTTAATATGAGAGGCGGGCCTTCCAGAGGCTGAGGGTCTAACCTTTGACCAACATCTGGCTCCTCTTGTTTCACCAAGATGGCGGACAGGTCCTGACTGAAGCTCCATTCAAATTCTGTAAGAGAAACAAAATACCATCAAATCAAAGACATTATATTCAACACCAAAGCTAAATTGGATCCGTTTGGCGATGGGCAACTCTGTATTTTGTCAATCCTTGCTGAATAACTTTATTTAAAACACTTCAGAGTAGCCCCACCTTTTAAAATCAGTAACTAACACTAACCTGACCATATTTTTCTTCAGGGACCTTCAGGGAGGTCTTCCAATGGGAAGTAACTGGTAGCTTATAAATCACACTTTCAAAGAGCTTCCCCCAAAACATTCAAGCACTTCCTGACAAAACTGGTTATTACAGACTGCTGGACGACGACGCTTTGGCAACTGTGGTGCATAATTTGTCTCCAGCGAGTGTGTATCTGCCCTGAAATAAAAGATGGGCTGAACCAGCAACTCGTCTTCAGTATCCTTCTTGAAAAAAGAAACGGCTGCTGCCTTTAAACACTGCAGAAAATATGCATAATTGGGTGTCCCAACAATGCAATTTTAAAGGAGTTTCCCTAAAACACAATAAGGATATATATATAAAAGCATCTCGCAGGTACTCCGTTGTTTAGTCTACTGTGACCTGCAGGAAGTATTTTTAGAAACATAAGTGCCACTGCAGGGCTGCAGGGAAACTAGTCGGCAGCACTCCTGGTGTATTTGGTGTCCTAGTGGGCAAGATGATGAAGAGGCTCCAGTCCTGCCTGGCAGGCAATGAACTTAAAACTCATGAACTTTTCACACCATTTAAAAGTTGAACTTTATCAAATGAACAGCATCAAATCATCACATTTTAAGGTTAATATCAGGAACAAAATCTGTCCTGAAGGGGTCTTACTTTCAAGGCCTGTCCCCAACCAACAATGCAACATGCAACACAGCACCTGCCCCGCCAGCTGCACATATGCTCAGTTAGTTCTGCAATTAGTTCCCGACCAGAAACTGCAAATCTTTAAAGTGATCATTTTCATAGTTGTGAAACTAATATATTTTAATATTACGGTAATTCAAGAAATACAATTTAAATCAATATTTTTATTTTTTAAAAGGAGAATTCCACCAATTTTACACATGTGGATCAGTTTACTCGACATGAGAAGTACTACTCAGCCTGTGAGGACAAGTGCTTACTCCCACAGGAAAATAAAATTCAAAATCAGATCTCTTCTTTGTCCAGCCTATTTCTCATAGACATAACTGAGCTCAATGTAACATCAACGTGAGATTTTGATCGTTTTCTCTTTTTCCTCTCTCACTGCAGTAATCCTTATTTATCTGAAATAATCAGCTCTTGAGATAACAGTAAGATCCAAAAGAAAATATGACTGGCTTATAAAAGAGCCTGCACAATATCAGACATTTGTCGCAGCGATCAAGTTCAAGTCTTAACTTTGTACTTTTTATATTCTTGAGTTGAGCACAGCAAAATAACTCGTGCTGATTTATTCTTTTGCTCTTCATTTTTCCTAAGGCGAGGCTTTAGAAGAAACAGACCAGAATTTAGGAGTCTCCAAATAAGAGGCTGATTTATTTCTCATGAGAAAAAGAAAAGACTATTGTGAGCAGCAAAATTTTCCTCTAGGCTGCCTTCTGTGAGAAATCAGAGAAAATGCCAGATTAGTTTTGAGACTTTTAATTTGTATCAGAAAGCCTGCACTACAAACCAGTGTTTGGGAGTTTGGGTCTAATGAAATGACCCATACTTGGGACTAAAATATGGAACATCTCAACTTTCGCTGCATAAATTTGAACCAGTTTTTTTCTTAAACTGTCTCTCGCAGTTATTTTGTTCAAAATTACGTTCTTTGGACGTTGCTTGTCCACACAGTTTATAATAATAGACTCACTAATGGGTGCACCAGAGCTGAAGGTTAACTATGTATGCTTTCAATTAAGGCTATTTTAAAGGTGAGCTGCTGATTAGGCACCGCTCCAAGGGAACCTCATTAGGCACAAGTTTACCGAACAGTCGATATGAGCATTTTATTGAACGTAAAATTGAAAGAAACCAAACATTTTTAGAGTCAAATAGATACAAATAAAAGCAGCTACAGGTTGAGAATGAGAAGTGTTTTCATTTTAAATACCTTAATAAATAATTTTAGAATAAGACGTGAGCATCAGGACACTTTGATGTTTGTCACAACGCACACACAGCCAAAAAGCTCCTGTGGTGTATGGAAAGAGCAGTAGCAGTTTAACAAGACAAGTGCTGCTGCTATGTGTGTGTGCATGTGTGTGTCGGGAGTGAACATCATTTTAATCACCTCCTGGTTTCCTAGCAACATGTCTGCTGGTAAAATGCTCTGAAGTTTACAAGCCGAGTGTGCTGGGTGGAAGCAGAGGGGGATGGAGGTGTGTGTATGTGTGTGTGTGGGTGTGTGTGTGTGTGTCCGTCAGACAGCTTTATCCTGTCCATCGCTACAGCAGCGAGTCTGTCCATCCTAAAAACAAATCCACGTGGCTGTCTTAGACAAACCTAAAGCCAATACGTGCAGACTCAACACTACAATCTGTGGTGTCAGTAACAGGAAAAAACACTCACCTCAAGATTTTGGGGTTTATTTTAACCCGATAGTGAGCGGGGAAACTTCATCCTGGAAATCATTACTATTTGTGGTGTTTGTTTCAGCTCAGTTCCTACATCAGCGGGTAGTACATGAGTGTCTGGTGATTTGTTTGGTCTATGAAATGTCAGGAAACGGGCAAAAATGCCAATCATAATTTCCTAAAGCCTTGGGCGACATCTTTAAATGTCTTGTTTTGTCTGATCACCAATCCACAACTCAAATATATCCAGCTCGCAGCCATAGAAAACAGAGACAAGCAGCACATCCTCATGTTTGAGAAGCTGCTACTCAGGAAAGTTTAGCATTTTTGCTTCATAATTGACTGGGACAATTAATCAGTTGGCAAATTAATTGAATTTTCTGTCGATCTACTAAGCTTGTTTGCAATAACATGACTATTATAATGCGTGACAGTCAGATGGAGGGCAAGGAGTGACAAATCCATAAACTTTGTGGTGTGGAAATAGAGGAAAGCGACTACATAAAAGGGTTGGATGAACCTGGAGGCAGCAGGTTTCGCCAGAAAACTGAGAGTCACGTTGGATGTGATTGATTCAAAATAAAGAAAAGTGATATTTCCGACAATTTAACCGACTTGCCTGGTGTGGACTAGCCTGGAAATCCAGACCCAAATCTAGAAAGATTTAGGGTTTGGCCATGAGTAATGAAAATGGCCCAACTCGAGGGGCGGCACCAAGCATGCATTTGTAAATATCACTGCACGCAATTGGATAACACTACGACCAATCAGAACAATACATGGGGTGACGTATATGCTTAGCTACCAGCAGAGCTAACTGGTAGATTAGACTCTTGCCGTATCCGGTCGGCAAAACAGCAAAAACGTCCTTCTTGCAAAGGAAAGACTCGAGCGGCGTCTTCTGTTCCTCTTTTAGAGAAAAAGCCAAGTCTAACTCGTTCATTGTAGCGGCCAAAGCCGTTTCAAACAGCTGGTGTTCATCCGTAGCCATCTTGCAATGTTTACTGACTGATTCCGGACTTCGTCGTCGCAGCGCTGTCATCATCTGTTTAGCTCACCTCTGGCCTGCCTATATCAAATACCCCGATGTGATTGGTGCAGCTCGGTTTCATGGGCATAGGTAATGAGCATCATTACTGATTGGCAGAGTGACTTGCTGAGCAAATTCAAATTGTGCTCTCGCGAGAACTCTGGATTTCCAGGGTAGGTGTGGACATGATCATTGTTACAAATTATCTTGCACTCCAGACCTCCTAGTGTTACTAGTGTTGCATGGCAAGCTGTTGAAAGTAGGGCTGCAATGATAAGTCGACTAATCGATGACTAATCAACTATTACAATATTCGGTGACAATCGGTTTTAGTCATTTTTCATAGAAAAGTACTATAAAAGTACCCCAAAATACAGCAGCTTTACACATTCTCCCATGACGGTGAACTAAAACCCTTTGGCGTGAGTATGAAACAAGACATCAGATGACATACAGTACAGGCCAAAAGTTTGGACACACCTTCTGATTCAATGCGTTTTCTTTATTTTCATGGCTATTTACATTGTAGATTCTCACTGAAGGCATCAAAACTATGAGTGAACACGTGGAGTTATGTACTTAACAAAAAAAAGGTGAAATAACTGAAAACATGTTTTATATTCTAGTTTCTTCAAAATAGCCACCCTTTGCTCTGATTACTGCTTTGCACACTCTTGGCATTCTCTCCATGAGCTTCAAGAGCTAGTCACCTGAAATGGTTTCCACTTCACAGGTGTGCCTTATCAGGGTTAATTAGTGGAATTTCTTGCTTTATCAATGGGGTTGGGACCATCAGTTGTGTTGTGCAGAAGTCAGGTTAATACACAGCCGACAGCCCTATTGGACAACTGTTAAAATTCATATTATGGCAAGAACCAATCAGCTAACTAAAGAAAAACGAGTGGCCATCATTACTTTAAGAAATGAAGGTCAGTCAGTCCGGAAAATTGCAAAAACTTTAAATGTGTCCCCAAGTGGAGTCGCAAAAACCATCAAGCGCTACAACGAAACTGGCACACATGAGGACCGACCCAGGAAAGGAAGACCAAGAGTCACCTCTGCTTCTGAGGATAAGTTCATCCGAGTCACCAGCCTCAGAAATCGCAAGTTAACAGCAGCTCAGATCAGAGACCAGATGAATGCCACACAGAGTTCTAGCAGCAAACCCATCTCTAGAACAACTGTTAAGAGGAGACTGCGCGAATCAGGCCTTCATGGTCAAATAGCCGCTAGGAAACCACTGTTAAGGAGAGGCAACAAGCAGAAGAGATTTGTTTGGGCCAAGAAACACAAGGAATGGACATTAGACCAGTGGAAATCTGTGCTTTGGTCTGATGAGTCCAAATTTGAGATCTTTGTTTCCAACCGCCGTGTCTTTGTGAGACGCAGAAAAGGTGAACGGATGGATTCCACATGCCTGGTTCCCACTG